TCTTTCTCTCTACCTCCATTATCCACCGAGCCTTTCATCGCTCCCTCTTGCCCCACGTATCTGTTTATCGAAACTTATTGTTAGTTGGAAGAAGTATGTAAAATGCATACAGAATTTCAGTAAAAAAAAATATATTATGACACGAACATCAGGTTGTGGCTCTGAGCTCCTTCGTTACGTGATTTATTAATCGTGTGAGCCTCTTGTATTTATCTATTTATCAAATTCCGACGCGGTACGTTCTACCAGCGTAATTTAGAAAGAATTATGGAATCGCGAAAGAACACAATGTTAATTAGACGCGTAAAAGTATACACGAATGGGCAAGAGAATGCGACGTGTTATAGATCTTAGAGGAAATTATGTTCGTTCTCTCGCATAATAAATAGGTTTCCATATTGCTTTGTAAAGATAATTGCACCAGTGCATTTTATTGATGGCAAACGCGTGTTTAATCGCACGGTCTACTTTAAAATAAATGTTCGGGAAATAATAATGTAGCAATTAAAAAGAAAAGACATGCCCAAAGTCAATTACATGTATGACCGAAAGAAATAATAATGGAATAATCGCTCGGTTGCTTGTAGAATTATCTTTTATTCATTTTATTAAATATATTTCTCTTCCGTTAAATATCCGTTAATTATTTGCGTGTTGCCGTTTATATAAAGATCTAAAATAGCAAATAAAAGAAACGCTGTTCAATCGATTTTGACAGACTTTAAAAACCATATAATCAATACCTAAGTAAAATTAATAGGATATTAACTATGCGTATGTCACGTAATGCCGACTCTCAAATTTATTTGGGAAAATAACATTCTGTTTATAATATTCACGTTTTACTGCTCTGGGAAAAAGAAGACAGTTAGCAACCCATTTTGGGGCCCACAATTCTACTCTACTCTGGAAAAAATTTTGACCTTTTCCCTTTTGTAGTTAAGCAACTTAACATTTCGGTAAGTGCCTCTTAAGTGAAAATTATATAATTTGCGTTGCTGAATATCGACATAACTAATTGAGATAATTGATTAGTATTACTTTAAAATCTCGGATATAGATAGAATAGCTGATTGCGTGAAAGATTAGGGTTACGAAGAATCCAAATAATTACTAATTGTGAGCCCCAAAATGGGATGCTGTCTTTTTTGTGTCACGAGAAATCTGTTCGTACCAATCGTCTAGTCTTCGTTGAACGATTAAAACTTCTTACTCCCCCCCTCTCGCATTCCCACATCGAACTTATGTTATTGCCGGAGGCCGCTCCGTTTGTCCATTTGCACAACTAATCACCGTTTTCCGTGCTATTGCGTTCGAGAAGCAATAATGAGAATCCTCTCACAGTCGCGGGGGTGGGACGCGCCCGAGATCGCATTGTTGTCCGTAACGCATATGGCGCATCCTCCAGCCGTTCCACTTTTCTCGTTTTTTTTTATTTTACATGCACGTCGTTGTCTTTTCACCTTTTTCTTGAACCGTGCAAAACGGTGAAATTTCACCGGACCAGAAAGGATGATACGAAGTTCCTTTTTTTTTTCGGTTCTCACGACGATTCCCTCATTCTTGTTTTCTGGCGTCGCTCGTGATTTCTCCATTCAACCTTTCATCGCACCCGATGTAGAAAGTGTTCGCAAGTTTGTCGTTTAATTGCGCTATTCAGTCGTCTCTGTTATCCTGTTGTCTCTCCGACCGATTAGAGACGCCACTTTTCTCATCGGTCGAACAAACCAGGAAATCAAACTTCACGATACCGCGGCATCGAAGATAGAAAACGTCTGCACGTTTGCTGCGGTTAATGATTTTATTCGATCATTTGTGCCTTAACCGTGAAAATATTTTGCGGCTTCTACATAGCGTTTTCTTAACCGATGGGAAAAAATGAATTTAGAGCTCAATTATGGGAACAATGAATCTTTATTACGTCGCATGAGAGACGAGATGGCATCTTGTGATATTGAACTATTTGGCGAAAATATCATTGCTTCAAAACTCTTTCGCTTCCGCTTCCGCTTTATGTCATTTCGAAGTTTGTACTTTTCCTACAGGTTATCATGTAATTGTCATAAGATTGTCACTTTATATAATCATTGTGTTCACACGTTTTCACTTAGTATTAATTGTATTAATTAGAACATAAATGCAAAATTTTTATTATAGAAAATTTAGTGTTAAAATTGGATAAATTATTTACGCAAATATGTCGCGGCGTTTGTTCGGGAAGGTTTCACGTGAAACATTTAGATATAAAATAAATCGTGAGGCATTAGCTTTCACTGTGGTTCATATAAATAATGTGATAGAAGCGATACCTAAACAAGTACCTAAACAAGGTATGTAAGGACTGCGGATGCCATTTCGCACCTTAGGAATCGCAGCTATCTGTCAGATCATCCCGCAAAGAGCACTGCTTTCTCAAGACGCCTCTTCCAGATACTCTCTCGGCATATCCTGAAAATGTCGGACGCCCCACCTGCGGCTTCATATTCGCTCGTTTACCCCCGACGATCGCGCAGTTCGACAAAGCGATTCGCATTCCTTTTAATACCAGTCACGATTATCTGGCCACGAAATAATATCGAAGAATTATCGCCTATCACGAGCCACAAATCAACCCAGTGTTTTGCGTAACGATTATTTTACACGATTGAAAATAACAATCGCGCAACACGTCGCTATTATTTTCGAGACCAGAGTGGCAAACAAATATCGATTAAATAACGATATATACACGGAGAGAATTTTCTCGTAAAGTTTATCCTGAAAATCATGCAGTTCTGGAACAACGTGGCGTTTACAAGAATTTTAGAAGTTTTTGGGAAATTTTACCATACATCTTACTAGTAATTATATTATACTTACTGTTAGTACACATTTTGCTGGTAAAATGTATGGTAAAATTTTCAAAAACTCATAAAGTTCTTCGCAACGCCATGTTGTCCTACGATTGCATGATTTTCAGGGTAAACTTTAAGAGAAAAATCTACGTATTTATTTACGTATCTATTTATATAAATCAATTAAATAAATATATAAATATATCTAGATACTACATATACGTATAAAACGTTTCGAAAATAGATATTCAGAATCTTGAGAATGTTGCCAAGTAAAGTCGTTCATAGTTGAAAACGATATGCCACGAAATGGTCATTACAACGACACGACATCCTTGATCTAATTCTTCTCACGTCACGTCAAGTTGCCGTTTTCCCTGCATTGCGCAGACATTTACTCGTACCTTTAATATCACACATACGCGTTCCAGGGGATTTTCGGAACACGATTTTTCTGATCGATTTCAACAATGTTGCGATTTAAAAAAAAACCAAAGCCTGTCGAATACTTGTCGGAATTTTCTATCACCAATTTGCGATCTTGTGTTTAATTTTAACAATTATATTATCGCTTAATATGTCTATAGATTCTACTCTTCTGTTATTTCCGATTTTTTGAACGTTCAGTATTTACGGAGCTACGATGCGACATTAATGCGTCAATTTAAATGCTTATCGTACTCTTTATGCTTTAATATATACGTAAATTCGTGTATTATTAAAGCATCAATGTCGTACGACAATTGAAATATTAATAACCTAATCTAAGGGCACGTTACATTTGGCGTTCGTAACGCATCATCTGTCCTTGTTGTGTCGTGACATGCCGATGCACACATACTACTTTATTTACCTAACAAAGCATGGCGAAACTCTTGCCTCACTTTTCAGCTCGAAGATAGCAGTCTGGTGGTAGAGAAAAGCTCTCTATTATGAGATAGGATTTTAATATAAAATAGTAGGTTTTCAACGTCCAAATTCTATGACAAATCTGTTTCCGCAACGACTACACGATCTAACAATCAATTTTCCACAAAACAGATTTACTATAATATATACAAATCTGCAGGTTTCTCTGCGCAATTAAACTTACCGATCGGTTATCAAAAATATTCATTTTCATCTAATTGTAAGTAGTTCAAAAACGTTCATTCGACACCTCTTTCGCAGCTTTTTAATTCGATATTGCCATATCGAGGTTGAAGGAAACATCGAATAATCGATAATATCGAATATCGATGAACATCTCTGTGAATCCTTGTCTCCTTCTAGTACTACCTGATTGGATAGTCGCATGTAAATGACGAGAAGAAGGGCGTCACTTATATGCGATTATCCAATCAGGTAGTACTAGAAGGAGACAAGGATTCACCCAACGCACCTCTCTCTCGGCAACAGCCAGAACTATAGATCACTCATTCCAGTATGTATAGAGTTCACTGTGCGAGAGCGAGTTGTCTGGATCATGGATAGACCTCAATAACCTGAATATACTTTTGATGACTATGTGATTTAACACAATTTAACACAATTTAACAATTAGTTACAAAGTGAATTTTTTAATAGGAAGCCTATTGATACCCCACCTCATATTAAAAACTGTAAGGAGCAACAAAGGGCCCTGTCAGGGCTGCCTGAACCCTACTAAAATTTCTGCTCGGGATAATTTGTTAATCCAGCAAATTGCGATTAGTATTCGTAACAAATCTTCTTGCTGTCCATATAATAACGAACAGATTTTGCTACAACAGCAAAAAATCTGCTGTGTCAGCAAATTATTTTTCTCCGTGTAGTTATATTATGGTAGAACCGCGAAGTGTTAATTTCGTATTTCCAGTATCGAACATTGAAGCGCAACGCGCGCGACGTCGGCAACCTTATCGCTCATTGTCAGCTTATCGAGGATCGTCGCGATCAACGAGAGCGACTTCCTCGTGTTACTCGTTATCGAGCTTCGCTCGCTCGCTCGCTCGCTCGCTCGCTCGCTCGCTCGCCGCCTCTTCGGCGCGCGCAGCCGCGTTCAACGCACCCGCGCGAGTGCAGAAGCGGGTTCCCGGTGGTTCCCGGCCATCCTGCCAGTGTCACGTGACACGTTGGCGCGGCCAACTTGAAAACGAGCGCTCGCCGGTCGGTCGGTCGACCGCCTCGCGCCACGCTGCGAGCGGCGCGGCTCAGTCACGCTCGTGCAGCCGCGACGCGACGTTCGTCTCGTATCTCGTGTCGCGTTATCCGCCGCGCGCTCGTCACCCGCTTGCGCCACGCGTCCACGCCCGCTCTCGCGAGGTTAAGCGCGCGGCGGTCGTAAGCCTCTCTCTCCCCGTACACACGTGAAGACGTTCGGCGCGGCCGAGAAGTGCATCTTCTTTCGGTCCACGGTACGTAACGTGGAGCATGCGCCAGGACCGAGCTGAGCAGTCGCCGCCCGTCACCGGATCCTGCGTGATTTTTCTCCGCCGCGAGGGAGAGCGGTTTCTCTCCTCCGCGCGACGCGCCGTGTCTCGGCGACCTTCGCTCGGTACTCGAACACTCGTTGACGTCTCGACGGATATTCCGGTGCGAACGACGGCCGGGGGTTCCCCGGGTTAGGGGCGAAGCTCGATCGGTTACCCGGCGCGCCTAGGTTAGGTCGTTGCGGAAGCAGCAGGAAGTTGGCCGTGAACGGATCGAACCCGCGCGCGCTCTTCTCTCCCGCGATTGCAGCCCGTACGTGTCTCGAGAGCGAATTATCGCCTCGCCGCTGACTCGCGATAATCGACGGGGCAAGAGGAAAAAAAAAAGAAACGATTGTCGCCAAGTGTTGACGAAGCTCGTTTCGCCCGCGGTGATCGTGCGCGAGAAAAGGAAGGAACGAGCCACATCGCCACGTGCGAGTGATGGATAGCCCGTTTTGCATAGCATTCTTCAAATTTTTTTTGCAGATTCTTACAGTGTATAATTGACGAGGTTCCGTTCCCGATAGAATCGACGATGAGTTTGTCGCCAGGTTGTCACGCACTTCAAATTGCCGCTTTCCACGTCACATTTCTTTTTATTATCGAAAATAATGGACAAGTCGCGGGGAACGATTCTCTTTTAGCGAATTCGGTTGGTTGCACTAGCGCGCACCGAGTGCACACTAAGCCTTGTTTCCAGTTAGTTCTTATATTTGAAGATCGTCTTAAATACCTCTTGCAATATTTCTTATTCAGAAAACTGGCCCGTGCAACGTTTACACACTGAAAAAAATTTCTGGTTGAATATGGACGAATCAGATAATTCCTTTAGGATTTACCAGAATTCCTTTAGGATTTACCAGAATTCCTGTAATCCTACAGAAATTCTGGTAAATCCTAAAGGAATTCTGGTAAATCCTAAAGGAATTATCTGATTCGTCTATATTCAACCAGAAATTTTTTTCAGTGCACGGATCATTTTTTGAATAAATACTCCTTGCACATGTATTTAAGACGAAATTAAATATAAGAACTGACTATAAACAAGCCTTAGCGTGCACTCGGTGCGCACTAGTGTAAGTAACCGAATTCGCCGTTAGTTTTTATAAAAATAACCTTTTTTTTAAAAAAGGTAAAAAAAGACGCCAAGTATAAGCGCCACCCAATCGAGAATTATATAATTTAATTATTTGGATATATTTTATTAGAAAAAAAAACATTTTTATCTTCTCTACAAAAGTAATGATATCACTAAATTGCGCCAACTACAATGGATATTTATACAAACTAGATACTTCATTATTTTTAAAATGTTATATCCAGACAATCGAGAATAAGATTTTACCGAGAGAAATAAAGGAGACAATAATATCAATGAGATAAATTTTTAATACTCATTCAGTAAAAATATAATGCACGCAACTTTAATACAAATAAACATTTTATTCAAAGGTGGCCTTTTCTAATTAGTTTTTGTATAAAACGATCAATCGTTTTACTCTCTGCGAAAAGAAATCTGGGGGTCAACTTCGTGTCTTGCAACATAGCGAAAAGCGAGCGGCTTTGTCTCTTTTTTCAAGGGGACAGTTAGAAAGAGACGGGGCTACTCACTTTTCGAATTTTCACTACAGTGTAAGATACAGAATTGACCGCCTGAATTGAAATCTATTTCTGCACGCGTTCGTTTCTGCGCAATCCGCAAGGGACGAGTCACTGATTGCAGGATAATGACCCTTGCGGTCGGCTCTGAAAATAGGGAAAGGCCAGGTGAAGGGGGGAGGGAGGCGACGCTTTTTCACTGGGACACCGCGCGATGCAGTTCTCCATGAAGTAAGATCTATTTCTGTCCCGTCTTTCCCGCGCGGCCTTGAAAGTCTCGGAGGGATGACTTAACTCCACCCTCCGTGCAGCCGTTCCTTTCGAGGGAGCTGCGCTGGACTCGTGCGCGGGGACACGCCGGCTCGGAAATGCGATTTTAGATTCGTTTTTTACTCTTTCTCGACGGCGGCGGTTGTTAATAGAACGCGATTGATCCGCTCGCGCAAGGCGGCCGTTAGATCTTAGATAGCATTCCGCTCGCGTCAGCGATCACGGCGAAAAATTAAGCATTCTTACCGTTACGGAAGAAATTAGTTTTTTTTCTCTCTCCAGTTCTTGCCGCGATGCGTAATTAACGTTGCACAGTAACATTAGTTCGCGATTAACGTCGATACCGTTCGCGTTCGGCGCCGCGAGCCGATCGAGTTCCGGGTGTCTCGCCTCCGATTCCGATCGAGTCCGAATCCAATTATAATTGAATATATAGCGCTCGTGTTTAGATAGGAACTTTTTCCTGGCGCGTTCGTGTAAAGATCGGTGTCGCTAAATATTCCCATCTCTTTGTGTATTTACTCTCAAATTTTTCAGTCGAGATGAAACAACCAAGGATGTAACACTACACAGTTGAAAAATTTGTGTTAAATTTAACAGATATCACAGGTCTCAAACGGTCCACACAAATTTTTCTGTTAATTTAACACAATATGTTGGATACGTTAAATAATCGCACTAATATTCTGTTAATATTTTAACACAAGATAAATGCAAATCTCAAAATAATTTGAATATAAAGTTTGTGTACAGTTAACATATTTTCAATGACAAAATGAATTTTTAAAAATGTAACTTTTACATTTTACAGATGTAACAAGTCAAATAACGGTTCGAAATCCCTCTCACTTATGTTGTATAGAATAAAATCAACATTTTACTCTGTAAATTTTAACAGATAAGTATTGTTACTAATAATATAGAACGTATGTATTGTGTCAGATTAAAAAATAAGCACACATCGTGTTGTTTTAACATTTCTTTTCAGTTATTTTAATAATTTTACATTTGAGGTCAATTAACACGAGAGCAATATGTTAAATTAACATATAAATGTGTTAAATATGTAACACAAAAATTTTGACCGATAATGAATTTTATGAAATTCTAAAATTAAATTTTACATTCATCATCGAACACCCAAATTTCTGCTCGTTGAATGTTATTTGACCCTTAGAGTCGAATTTTTGTCATTATACAAAACACAAGCGCCTAAGAGTTTTCTTAATTTGTCTCAAATTTTTATTTCGACTGTCAGTTCGCGAACGTGATCATGTTCTGGAAATTGCATTAAGATCGAAATTACTTGACAAGCGTACAATAAGTCAAATCAATTGAAGAGACTTCAGCACGAATCGAATATTTCGAATAAGTTCCTTCAAGACGCAATGTTATTTGCAATTCAATTTCGAGTGTCATACGCGCGGACGTGAATGCGTTCGGAAAATTGGAAATTGTGTTAAGATTGAAACCATCGCCCTTTGGTAAGCGTTAGATAAATCGAGAAGATGAAAAAGCTTCAACGCGAGGCGAATGTGTTTTCCTTCGCGACGCGATGTTAAATCCCTCGAGGTAACGCTAGTCGATTGCGCTAACAATCGTCAGTCGAGGATCTGTGTGTTTACGTTTCCATTATCACCGTTGTCACATCTACAGGAAAGGCGGCATTGCGTAATATTACTGGCAGACTGAACGAATATTTATATGACCATTGAAGTGGAGCATCGAGAAGAATTTTCGAAAGAATAATTACGAAAAGTACAATACATGGGGACGTGCAGGAACGCACAGATGACTTTTTATTGTATCTCAAAAAAATACTCGTGTCGGAAGTACCTTTTCTATCTTACGATGTTATATGTTTGTTTTTTATTTTGCGTTAAATTCTCTCAAGTGTCTTATTAACCAATTCTCCGTCGAGTCGGAATCGTTGTGATACTTTGCACTAGCCTTTTGCTGGTTTCTAAGCACTCGAATCAGTGGACGATTGTAATCAGCGCATCACATTTTATCCCCATAAATCCTTTCAAATTATAAAAATTGCATATGGTTCATACTTGATCCACTACACGGGGAGAATTTTCTCTTAAAATTTATCACGTAAACGTGGCACAACATGGCATTTCGAGGAATTTTATGACAGTTTTTTGAAATTTTACCATACGTTTTACTGGTAAAATTTCAAAAACTTCATAAAATTCTTCAAAGTGCCACGTTGTCCCACGAGTACATGATTTTCGGGGTATTTTAAAAGAAAATTCTCCGTGTAGATTATATTAAATTGAAATCGAAATATTTTCGCTTATCTGTGACAAACGATTTTGATTAGCAAAGGATCGCGACGTGCGCAGTCAAGTAAACTCGATTATTCTTTTTGTCGTAATCGACGTAACTGTAATTAGATGCACTATTTTCTCTATCAGAGAATTGAGCGACGTATCGGGAAATGCCCTGCCGTCTAACTTTGTGGCGCATGTCATTACGTATTTGCGCTTAGTCACGAGAATTTTTTTCATCGCGAGATGCTGTTATCGTTGTTTACCCGATTCATTTTCGAGTGCGAGAGAGATCGTTATCGGTTGAATCGGTCAGTCGCGATCGGCATTTCAACAAAGATTCTGTGCTCAATAAACTGTGCGCGATAAACGTCACCTGTGCGTTCTTTGTTCACGTCCCCACATGCATTATACCTAGTGTAATTATTCTTTCGGAACTACTTCTCGATGCTCCACTTTAGCGCCCGTATAAACACTCGTTCGGTCTGTCGGTTGACGTTAGGTATGGAATATACCGTCGGACTACAAAACTATCTTTAGAAATGTTGTTGAACCGTGCTATACCGTTCAACTATCGCTCAGGCACACTTCGCCACGTGGAGAAAAAAAAAATTTTCTCCGCGCGTGAATATTCTGTCCGTATTTAAGCCAATTCCGTCCTCCGCAGTTTTTTTAACCCGTCGCGCAAATCATCGCGCAACGAGACGTGACGATAACGGTTAGCGTTAATATTAATAGCGTATCGTTTGCGATAATCGACCCGCTCGTCTACGGGCGATCGCACTGAAACGCGCCTAGTTTATACCCGACGAAGTTTGACCCGGCGCGATGGCAACGACTCGTTCACTTACTTTTACTTTAATCGCGACGTGCACGCCGAGCAGGTCCCCATTTCGATCGGCGCTGCATCCGCTCCGAAAGCGGATTCATTCAGCCTCCTCCCTCCGTGCTTTCCTCGAATTCGCCAGTGAAATCGTCCCGTGAACGAATCCACCACCGAAAACTGAATCGCGCGCGTCCGCCTTCGAGCGGCGAAAGCGCCGCGGCAGGGACGATTTCGTCGATTTAGGGCGGTCGATCTCCCAGGCCGAAATTATTTCGAAACGAGATCGCCCGATATCGTTCATTACCGAGCACGCTCGGTCGAGTGAATGCTTATTTCTCTTTGCGATTGTAGTTTTTAAGTACATCCGTTCCGCCGCTAATGCCCGGAAACGCTCTTTTACTTTCACGAATATTAACGAGATCTTTCCAATCGCCAATCATTTTACACGGGTTACATCACGCGGTTCTTCGACACTTTCGGAAAAACAAATAAATTGCCTGGATTGAAATGTCGGAAAGCTACTCGGTCCGATATTTCTACGAATAATCAGGGATACTTCTTACACCCTCGGAAAGGATTTCTGTTACTGACAATGAGGCAAAAAATATTCTTGACGCACTTATATTCTCACAACCTCATTTAGTATAAAACTAAGACAACGTCAAAATAAAATCAATGATTCTTATTCTCCTCCATCGAATTGAAAAAGATTGACTTGCTATATTGAGACAAGAGTAACTTATATAAATGTAAGTTTATATTCCTGCGTTTAAAATAAATTACAACGCACAAAGTTGGCATCACGATATTCGGCAAAAGGCGATACATGCTATCATTTTATTCTAGATTTTAGAATTGTTCATTTAGGATTAAAATATTCTTTTCTCTATAATAAATATAATTGGCGGCTGTATCGATCCTATTTTATGATTCATGTGTTAATTTAACATATTGCTCTTGTGTTAATTGGCCTCAAATGTAAAATTATTAAAATAACTTAAGAAGAAATGTTAAAACAACACGATGTGTGCTTATTTTTTAATCTGACACAATACATATCTTCTATATTTCTTCTATATCAAGAACAAAATTTATCTGTTAAAATTTACAGAAGAAAATGTTGATTTTATTCTATATAACATAAGTAAGTGTAATTTCGAACCGTAATTTGACTTGTTACATCTGTAAAAATTACATTTTTAAAAATTCATTTTGCCATTAAAAATGTTACTTTTACACAAATCTTATTTCAAATTATCTTAAGATTTGCATTTATTTTGTGTTAAACTATTAACAGAGTATTAGTGTGATCATTTAACATATCCATATTATGTTAAATTAACACAAAAAGTGTGGACCGTTTGGGACCTGTGATATCTGTTAAATTTAACACAAATTTTTCAACTGTGTTAAAGTGCATTGGATCCGGAATTTTTTTCTGTGGTTGTAATAACATAAAATAATTATAACCTAACGAAGACGAGAAGGCGTGAAAAATATTTAAATATTAAATTATTTAAGTAAATAATTTTCTTACCGCGTAGCTCGCGTGTGTCAAGTCAAATCGGAACAATCGATCGTTAAAGGGAGGTCTTTAAAACGTGAATCGTGTCAGGCTGACCCGCACGGGCGTGCGTGAACCTTGATACATTCCGCACGACTTTCAATCAGTAACACGAGATAACTCGCGATTACCTACAGCGCGATGCTCCGTTTCGATAAACTCGGGCTCGCTTAGTTCGCCACAGCACCGAGGGAACCTTTCTTTCTCACCTACTTGCGTCGGTAGACGATATCATTGCGGTTACGCTGCAGACGCTATGGCACTCGCGTGCGCAACCGGCACGATGTATTATTTAAAGAATGAAATTCGATTTCGCCATACAAATTGCATTACGGGCGTTCTTAATTCATAAACGGGGATGTCTTCGCTGCCGCATCCTTTGAGGAGGCAGCTCTCGCGAATGTGAGATGCTATTCGTTTCCTCTCGATCAATTTCCGAGCGATCGACTATCACACTTAAATAGTAAATAAATTATTTTATTTACTATTAAGTGCTCCTACTGCTTATCAAGCGAATTTCTAATCCGTTCTAATTAATTTAATCCCCGTTAATCGAGCGAGCATTCAGTCTTATCGCATTGCCGCGTATCGTAAAAATTAAACATGCAACATTTTGCGAAGTAATCTCTTGCTAATTATGAGAAAAAGGGTATACGATTTAATTCCACGTGTACATTCTTGTGACGAGAACGTGCATTTTATCAATAAAGTTTATACGTTAGGTAAATATTCATACTTAAATTTATAGATATTTAAAAGGAGAGTTGGTAAATTTTTATTATTCTTTTCTTACGCGTATATTACCGTCGGACTTAGAACAAAATCCCTTTTGACAGTCCCCGGGGAGAGAAACGACTGACATTTATGTCACCATTACATTTCCCGATTCGCGATCGAGCTACTCGAGTACCGGCGCCAACGATAAAAATGTAAAAAAGTGTAACGGTGTCAGTGCACTGAGCAAAGTGTAATTTACATACGCAGGTTTTTGTGAACTCAGAACTTGGATAAACTCTTACGTGTCGTAGCTTTCTCGGCACAAAATTAATTCACGCCGGACATTCGTGAGAACGCGAGGACAAATATCAAAGAGTGAGCGGGAGTTCGTTCAAAAACTAAAATAAGAAGATTATATCGTCGAAGGAGTGTCGAATTATTGATTAATTGACGACATCTGAGAAAAAGGATCTGGACGTAAATGATAGTGTGAAGTAACTTTCGAATCGAAAAGAAAAGAAACGACGTCTTAAGAAAGTGTACTAGTGTACGATTACTTGCGGTTTCTGGATATGAATCTATTTGAATATGTCGTGACACATTGAAGACAAAAAACGATGGACTGACAGAGTGGGAGAGGCTAATCGAGTTGGCAAGGTCGAGAAGACTTCCATTGGGTGTAAAAGCTCGCTGTTCGAGGGAGCTGGCAGTCTCCAAACTCTCGTTCGTGGGGCAGGGCCATGTCAAGCGGGTCATGAACAGCTCGACTCCCTTCCGCGCGAACAGCGACGCAGCCCCGAGTCATCTGCATCCGCCTATTTACCAACGGGATGAGGCTGTTCCGTCGACCTCGAGTGAGAGAAGCGCCGACTCCGCCCGCAGCTCCGAACCTCCCTCCGGGACCTTCCTCGAGCTCGCGTTGGACGTTTCGTACGCCGGTCTTGGCACCGATCTCGTCGACTCCGGTGGCAAACGGACGACAGCAAGCGCTCCGTTGCGAGAGGATGCGTCTAGTCTGCCGCATTTCTGGGAGGACATCGGGGTGGTGGAGTACCTCGAGAGGAGACTCGGCCGGCCCGACGAGAGCACGCCGGAAGAACGCGTCGCGACCCTCCGCGAGGTCCTCGCTGAGAGAACGGACATCCACGAGGGCGACGGGGATCTCTCGGACTTCCTCTTCCACGTGGCGCGAACCAAACACGGCAAGATCTACATAAGGGTTATTCGGACTCTACTATTGAATAGAGGTAAACGTTCATTTAGATTGGGCGCCAGTCCGTCGATGGCATTTTTAATGCTCGTTGTACATTATGATCTCTTATTGAAGAATTCTAGCGTATCCGAATCTCTATAGAACTTGATAATAAGCGAAATAGGATCGATAGATATAAATCTAATACAATTAATTGGAGAAGATGCCACTTTTCAGTCGGGCTGGATCTTGGCAGCCTGACAACCAGATTTCTGTGTGAATTTTCTATACTTTGTCCAACTTATTGACGGTAAACTGCCGATTATTTATCTTAAAACGCAGCGCCGATTTAATTGTCGATGCTAATAAGCATCATATTAAAATTACTGTCAAGAATTTACCGCGGAAAACATTATCTTAAACAAGGTGCGACCTGGACCTGCCTATAATCCGTGACGGATATCTTTCCCAATATACAGTTGCGTTCCCACTTATCGTATAAATATATTACCAATATCTACATCTTTCGATAATAACTTGTCTTAAACATAAAAACACAACGATTTATTTCCAGAAAAGCGTTCTTATTTCTGTCAAGGATGCAACGTAACGTCTTGCTCGCGAAAGGGGGTCGATAAAACATACTTGACGCAAGACGTTGCTGCTAATTAAACGAGTTAATCATTAATTGTTTACGTGAAATACTATATTACACCTTGTATTAAGAAACTAGTGTAGTATCTTCTCTTTAAATTGGCAAAAAAGTCTTCGGGGAGAATTGTTTTGAGACGTTTTATGTACACTAGGCATCACTGACGTCTTCCCACGTGAATTCAGGTGCATGTAGAACACATACATTTTCCATGTATGTAAATGCAAAAATATATAAATGTGTTGATACGTGCACAAGTTCACGTGGGAAGGCACCCGGCGATTCCTAATCTGCACGTAAAAATCAGCATTCCGCGTCACATGTGCGGCTATTTCTACTCCGTTGTTTCCTTGCACATCAGGTTTGTTTTCTATTCCTGCACTGGTAAACTAGTGCAGTAAGCTAGAATGAGAAAAGACGTTCGCGTGGTTTCGGCGATCTTTGCGATATTCTCAAGTCCACCCAGTACATCGACAATAATAATTATAGCAAAAAGAGACGGCGACGAAGGTGATCCCACTATTATCTTTAAGAGCGTCATGGATTCGCGAATCTTGGATTAAAGATGTTACCGCTCTCGGTGGGTGAGGGAATTTTTGTTAGCTATACGCGAAATATTAATGTAAGAACTCCTATGCTGGACAATCGCTGAACTCTGTTAGAATCCTTCAAAAAATGATGCGAAGCAATCGCAGAAATCAGTTTGATTAATCCTAAGCATTATTCATAATTTAGCAGTGTATTTTTTACCGCCCACTATCAAAATTAACATACGATCGAGTATTATGCGACTAATGTTTCCTTCATCCTTGATCTTGCCGGCGTGAAGGTAAACGTAGGAGAGCGTAATTAATTCAATTCTTGAGTCAGTATTTAACGTTTACGCCGCATGCGAGGTGAGACCTTACGGTGATCCTGGGTCACGCGGATTTCCTGGCGCGACAACAAACTAACAATGTGGTCTTTGTAATCCAAAATATAAGCCGGCGACGCATGACCGCTATTACAGGGTATTACAGGGAGTACGTTGCCGCTTCTATGGAGCGAGATACCCGGGGTGTCAGCAGGACTCTTGGTGCCGCGAAAAGAAGCGGCCGATCATTGCAAAGCTCTGGAGAAGCTCGAGCACAGGCAGACGTGGATCGTCGGGATCGAGATGCCAAAGATAACGGTGTCTCCCCATGGTAAACGGCTGAGGGATATCCCAGGATATCGCTCATTAAGGATAAAAGGCCGAGGAGACCCCACGACGATTACGGTCGACGGTCTTAACGGCGCTTTATGCGACGCACGCTAAAGTTTACGGAGACATATGTGTTTCCTTTATACAAGTTGTGTGACATAGAACACGATGACGGATTACGATCATTTAAAATACGTTTCGTAAATTGATTCGATAAAACATTGTGTTATTTTAGCGCTTTTAAGACAGCTTTATCTCTCGTAAGATTTTAAGTTGACAATGAGATTGATTAAGAATTTTGTTAGGTTCACTTTTCAGTAACATATATTTGCGAAAAAGATGTTAATATTTATTCACGACGGCAATTTGGCGGAAGATATTTATTTTCGCGAGAATTGAGCTTACTGAAGTGGTTTCAATCGTTGCATATTAGCGCGTATTACGCAATTATTTGAATTACGTCAATTAAGTCGCGGTGAAACCGCGACCGCTCGCATTAACGACGCTTTATATCGCGCCTAATAGAGAGGTGCAACTAACAAAAGTTTACAGTTAACAAAGCATTATCATATCTTCACGCTTCACCTTTCCGGCTCCCTGGTCATGGGAAATCCGTGAACTCGTATCGTACGTTTATGCTCGTCTATCTTTCCATATCTTCCCACAATTAATTTCTTACATGGCATTTTGCACGCGAATCGTGTAGTGCGAGTTCCTTGACACCTGTCGCTTGGCATCTTAATTGCAGTGTAGTGTGATCTTGCGTAGCCGAGAAGTTGATTTACCCGGTTTTTCTTTGCCGCTGGAACATTTACACGGAGAGAATTTTCTCTTAAAATCATGTGTAATCGTGGGACAACATCGCACTTTGAAAAACTTTATGAGTTTTTGGAAAATTTACCATACATTTTACTAGCACTGTAATTATATTTAGTATACATTTTACTAGTAAAATGTATGGTGAAATTTCCAAAAACTCTCATAAAATCCTTTGATATGCCATGCCGTCCCACGATTACATAATTTTTAGGATAAATTTTAAGAGAAAATTCTCTCCGTGTATCTCTTTAAAACGGTTTTACCTAATTTGAGAGACTGCCAACAATATGTCTTAAATAAAAACGTCCGATCCTAAGCAGCAGAAAATTTATTTTAGCGCGAAGTATAATACATTAATGCAGAATAACATTTATAAATATTTCCCTTTGATTTTGACATAAGTAAATTTAGCGCCAACGTAAAGAATCTTAGTACAAGTCTTTACAAATTTAGTTGATTTGTTACTCTTTCCTCACTTCTCATAATTTTCTAGGTTTATCGCAACGTCGTTTATCCTGATTAATACCAGCTAATCTTTCTCCTCTCGTTTGCTATCTTAAAAAAACTCTTATAGAAACAGCAGTTAGACCGGCGTAATATGAAATACATATTAATCTTCCCGCGGCGAGGAGAGTCGTTTCTCTACTGGAAAGTCGTTTGACAACAAAGTTAATACAAAAAAACAAAGAAATAAATATGTGTCCGCGTGACATTTTCCGCGATACGTAATCGAGCATATCTTATCCTGTACGATACCCGAGACGAAATTTTGGTCCTACGTTGAACCTTTAATTCTATTATGTAGTTGAACCTAAGACAGTAAAAGGGGTCGAACTGCAAGTACAAAATTTACTCCTACTTTAAAACTGATAGTGTCGGAAATTTCTACTTTTGCTGATTTAGCATTAAAGTGGGTCCTTTTAAGTAGGAGCTAAAGTAAATTTTTAGAATTAAAGATTCAAGGGAGGAGTAAAACAATACAATGTCATGAAAGTAGGTTCTTGCTGATCTATGTAGGTGTATAGATCAGCTAAGTGGGTGTAAATTATCCTTAAAAGTGACAAAATGGTGTCAAAATTTCGACTCGGGTATCCTGAAATCGCCGCGCGAAATCACAAGGCGACCTCGAGCCGTCAGTGTCAGCGCACTCGGAAAGAAATGTAACACCGCGTGCGCAAAAATATTCGACGCGCTCGAGTGACCGATCGGATTTGCGCGACTTCCAAGGAGAGCCGGCGCGTCGGCACCGTGAAAAACGCGGATTTCCACGGTGCGTTATCCCGTTGATGCCGCGGGAGGCGTAACTTCCTCGTGTTTGTGTTCGACGCGCTCAGCTTCCGCGACAGGGGGCAATTTTGCGAGATTCGTCGGGCACGATGTCGCACACAATGGGTGGCATTACCGATTCCGATCGGTATGCAGCGAAACCTCGATTTAACGGACCCAGATATAACGGATTTCGGGTGTAACGAATATATAAAAATGCGCATCATACACATTTAATATTGCGCTTACTTTTGGATAGACTCGCTTCGTTTCGGCCTCACGTCAGTCGTGCGATCAGATTGCCGAGTGTTTCTCATACATACACAGTTGGGAAATTTGTGTTTTCTTGTTAAAAAAAATGCCGGTTAAAATTTTTGCGTTAATTGACCTCAAATGTAAAATTATTAAAATAGGCGAAAAGAAATGTTAAAACACCACAATGTATACTTATTACTTTTAATCTTACACACTACAAATGTTCTATATTATTAGTAACAAGGTTTGTCTGTGCCGTCATTTGACTTATTGCTGTAAAATGTAAGACTTACATCTTTTAAATTCATTTTGTCATTAAAAATATGTTAATTTTACAGAAAATTTATTTCAAATCATTTTGAGATTTGCGTTTATTTTGTGTTAAAATATTAACAGAGTATTAGTGTGATCGTTTAACATCTCCATATTATGTTAAATTAACAGAAAAATTTCCGTTTGGGACATGTGACATCCGTTAAATTTAACACAAATTTTTCAACTGTGTACGCTATAAATATTTTCAGTACTACCAGCGAATGTCGGTACGCGGCCCGAATATAAAACAGAATACCGACATGAATTATAAATGTTTTGATGTAGACTGAACCGGATGATGTAACGAGAGGGAAAACGCGGAGCCGTCGCGACCGGTGATATTAAAGGGAAGCTGCACTTAACAATTAGAAAGCGATATACGGCGCGATGCGATGGCCTGACCTTTCCACGAATAAGCGAACCAATTCGATAGTTTATACAGATATTTATTGTATATGTCGCCGTATTGTGACGCGAACGACGGATACAATAGATATCTGTCATTGATGCGAAAGCAAATATAGAAGAGCGGTATAAAGTACACGCATCTTTTTAACGGCCGTCA